TGTGCATACCCGGCAGGGGGGTGGGGGGGGTGAGTGCAGCAGGGAGCTGTCTGCACGTATGCAGCGGCATATCCTGGCAGGGGATGAGTGTGTGCGGGTGCACATTCATGTGTGAGATGCATGCACAGCAGGAGCAGTGCATGTGCAGGGTGCATGTGTGTGCACTGCTTGTGGACACACGCCATGGAGGGCTCCTCTGCCACCTGGCAAACTGGGGCAGGGCCTGGCCTCATTGGCTGCTCCTCCGCTGTTATTAATGACTATGATTTTTGCATATGATTCCTGCACCTGGGAGCTCCCCTCCTGGGTATGGGCCCCTGTATGAACAGAGCCCTCCAGAAGCCAGGATGCCTGGGTCTGGAGTGGGGTCTTGTGGGTTCGTGAGGTTGGGAGCCAGGATGCCTGGGTCCGGGATGGGAGTGGGGTCTTGCGGGTTCGTGAGGTTGGGAGCCAGGATGCCTGGTTCTATTTCCAGCTGTGGGAAGGGAAGGGAAGGGAAGGGACGGGACGGGACGGGACGCAGCGGTTCGAGCCGGGGCCCGGGGCCAGGACTCCTGGGTTCTATTCCTAGCTGGGAGCAGAGGGCAGCTGTGGTTAGACGAACCCAAGCGTCCGGCTCCTCTTTCTGCTTTGGGGTGGAGAGGCTGGAGCTCCCAGCCCTTTGTTGGGGGGGACAGGTCAGGGCAGCTCTTTCCTTGGGTTTGGGGAGAGGTGTGGATCCAGCCGACACCAGAGTTGGCTGGGATATGGGTGCAGGCAGGAGCTGGGGCAAGTCCCCCACAGCCCCTTGCCCGCAGACGGGCTCCCCACACCCCCAGCTAGGGACATCAGCCGCACTGGGGATGCAGCAAAACCGGCTGCCCCACACCAGCCTGGTATCCGCAGCGCTGCTCCGGCTCTGGACCCCCGACTGCACGGGGTGGGGGAAAGAGGGCTGGGGGGAGACAGGCGGGGTGGAAAGGGAGGAAGGGGAGCAGAAGGGAAAGGCAAGGGAGAGGGAGATCAAAAGGAGCTGCCAGGAGAGCGTGGGGGAAGATCAGAGCAGAGACAGGTGGGAGGAGGAGGAGAGCGGGAGACAGCGGCGGATCAGAGCCCCCAGCGCTGGGGAGATGGAGGCGCACACCCCCCTCCCTGGCGCCGCGCTGCAGCCGGGCCTGGCCAGGCCGGTGCAGGACTTGCTGCCCATGGCTCCAAATGGGGGATCCTGTATTGCACCCAAAAGACACCCCCCAAAAACATATCTCTGTCCCCACCCAGGTGCTGCCAGGCAGCTGCAATGGCATAGCGTCCGGGTCTAGCCCTGGGAGATGCGGAGAGGGGGTTTCTCTGGTGGCCTGGGATGGGAAACAGATGATGGTATCGCCGTAAGGACCCGGGGCCTGGCTGTGCTCCCCAAACCCATCCAGGATGCAGAAACCCAGGGGCAGAAGCACCCCCAGTGCCTTCTCCGTGGCTCCCTGCCTGTCATTTGCTAGCAAGGGCAACCTGCAGCCACCCGGGGAGGCTGTGGTTTAGAGAGGGGTGCTGGTGAACTCCCCCCCACCCCGGCTGATCTGCATATGCAAATAAGATGCAGATGACACCCCACCTCTCCCCGCTGCTCTTCCCTGAAGCTTGCAATCACCCCGATCCTCCTAGCTGCACCCCGGGCGCTGCCCAGCACCCCACCCAAGGGCTCCCAAGGAGCAAGTGCTAAGGGGCGAGGGGCTTTCCCTCTGCTATGGGGTCTGGGAAGCTGGAGAGATGGCTGCGCAGGGGTCAGAGTGGCGCGGCGGGAGCCGGAGGTGTCTGCACAGCCGAGCAAGCTGAGAGTCTTTCCTTGTCGCGGGGCCTTGACATTATGCTAAGGAGACAGGCGGCTTCCGGAGGGCTGGCTGCTTAAAAGGCAAGCCGTGTTCGGCCGCACCTCGCCCACTGCCGGCAACGGCTGCCGCGCCGGATAAATTATTCACACCTGCCGGGGAGTCGGCTCCACTCCTCTTCCAGTCTCCCCGGGCACGGCAGGGCACAGCACGGCACGGGTGCCCTGCTTTGGGGAGGCTTGCAGCCCCGGTGTGTGTATGTGTGCAAGCACATGTGTGCCTCTATTCTGGGTGTATGTGTGAGCCCATGTGCTGGCATGTATGCCTGTCTCACCTTGCATGCATATGCATGCCAGCAGCCATGTGTGTCACGGCAGGCAGGTTGGTTTGCATGAACACACATGTGCAGGTGCCTGTGTACATCCACTCCTGTTTGTGCCCCTCTGTCTACCCCCATCTCCATGTGTTTCTGCACGCGCGTGTGCATCCAGGGGTGCTTCTTGACCTGGCTCTCTCCCTTCTTCACGCGTATGCATGCATGTACCCCGAGCATGCAGCAGTTGGCACAGACGGGGCGGCCAGAGCAAGCGCCCAGCGAGAGCGTGGAGAAGGGCACGTGGCGAGGGGAGGGGGGGGTGAACCGGCCGGCGATGCACACTCCAGGCCCTGTCTCCCTCTATTTATCAAATGAAGGTCTGATTAAACCCTAGGGCTGAGGCTCCAATCTCCCTCTCTCTCCTCTCGCTATTAAACTCAGGGTTCAAAGAAAAGCTTTTTATTCGCGCCGACAGCTTTCAGATGGAAGTAAATCTCCCCGCGCTCCCCCCGCTCCCCTCCGCTGCAGCTTCCCCTTCTCTCCGCTTGCACGTTGGAGCCTTTTTCTTTTTCCTTCCCCCCTTCCTTCCTCCCAAGCCGTTTGCTTCTATTTATATTAAAAAAAATACACGGGGAAAAAAAAAAAGGAGAGAGAGAGAGAGAGGGAGACGCCGGGTTTATTCTCCAAGAGAGAAAAGAGGATTTGGTTCCTTGTGGCCTTGCCCGGCAGAGCAGAAAGGCAGAGATTTGCACGCTGGATGAGGAAGGCGGGATTGCTGCGCGGCGGGGAGGGAGGGAAGGAGCACGTATGGCGCTCGGCTCAGATGAGGGGGCAGTGGTAGGAGCCGGCCGGATGGAGGGGCTGTTGCTGGGCCTGCCCAAGGGATTGGGGAGCTACAAGGCTCCATGTCCTCGGTTTGGGGTCCGGGGCAGCTCCTGAACTTCTTTGCAGCTCCGGAGAATAGAGAGGGCATTAGAGCAGCCCAGGGGCTGCCCTGAGTGACCCTAACCCCAAAACCTGGAGCGGGGTGGTAATGGCGGTCTCACTCCCCTTAAGCACCCCATGACCTGTGGAGCTGGGGGTCTGAGCCTGGTTCTTCCCTCCTGCTCCTCATTTCATGCTTGGCCTTCCTGCTCCTGAGCAGAGCACCGGAGATGGGGGAGCCTGGTGACTGGGGTACTAGGAACAGGGGGAAGCATGAACCCCTCCTGCCAGGCACTCCCAGCCTGGTGCCCTCTGTGCCAGGCACCACACTGCAAGGGCTCGGTTGCTACAGAGAACAGCATGTGGGGAAACTGAGGCACGGAGCAGGGCAAGGGAGTTCAGGGTCGCACTGCAGAACTGAACATAGGACCCTGGAGTCCTGGCATAGTGCCACCCCACAGCTGGGGAGAGAACCCAGGAGTCCTGGCTCCCAGCCCCCTGCTCTTTTCAGTGGAAAACTCCCTCCTAGACCTGGGGAAGGAACCCAGGAGTCCGGCTCCCAGGTCCTGACCCTGTGCGTGCACCAGCCAAGCTCCATCTTCAGTGCCCGCCTGGCGGGGCCCCTCTGCAGCCCACGGTTCGGCACTCCGCTGTGTCACCGAGCACGATTCAGTGCAAAGCCTGGGGGTGAAAAAAGCTTTGAAACCATCCCTGAAATAACCCACGAGGAGCTAGAAATAACCATGGAGCAGCAGGGAGGGTGTGGGGGCCTCCTTTCCTGCTGGCGTGGTCCACTCCAGTGCCAACTCCAGCCCCTCTCACCCGCTGCCTGGCTGCTGCGGGTCGGGCAGTGCCAGGAGGGCAGAGGCTTTGCAAGGGGCAGCCGAAGCTGCGGTGATGTGGACTGGAGAGACTATGGGGTGGGGACCAGGCTGGAGGGGACCCTGGCCCACACAGCCCCATGGCCAGCTGCACTGGCTCTGCAGGAAGCAGGAGGCTATTTTAGGAGCTGCAATTTGGGCCCCGTGATGAGGCCAATGTGCCCAGCAGCGCTGGGGCACGGCTGGGGGAGAAAGGGTGGCGGGGCTGGGTGCCATCCGGGGAAGACAGGAATCCCCCCCGCTACACCCAAAACACCTGAGGAGGCAGGGGCAGGGGTGGGGGCAGCAGGACATGTGCCAGGGGCACCCCGAGCTCCTGGGGCCAGCTCCAGCTGCAGTTGTGAAGCCCAGGGGAAGGTCTTTTTGTGCAGCTGAGCCCAAGCCTAGCTCCTGTCCCTTGGGTGGGTGGCACTGGGGGCACAGGGGTCCCGGCCTGTCTCATCCAGGCAGAAGGAAAACACCCCCAGTCCTGCATCCTGACCCTGACTCTGCCTTGTCCTGCTGGGTATCTGTAGGCCAGCTGCTTTCCTTGCCTGTGCCTCAGTTTTCCCATCTATAACATGGGGCTTCCTCTCTCTCCACCCATCAGTGGTAGGGGCTATCTTGCACCCAGCACCCTCCCCTCCTCCAAGGACAGCCACCCTGCCCCATTTTTCCATCCCAGACTGTCACAAATCTACAGCTGCCTGCACCCTGGAAGCTGCAGCAGAATCCAACCAGGCCAGCTTCTCAGCCCTTTGAGCTGAAGGAGAATCCCCACCAGCACCCAGCAGTACAGGGCTTAGGACACACAACATGTCACAGGGCATCCCTGCCTCTCTCCCTCTCCCTCACACGTGCAGCCGGCTCCTCCGGTTCGGGGCTCTAACCCACGGCCGCGCAGGACGTGAGCAAACCAATTACCGTAATGAC